TCTTCCGTGCATCTGAAACTATTGGAATGGCTATGGGAGTTGTTTTATTGGCTATATGTTGAGCCTGTTGGTTTAAGCTAGTGGTATGGGCCACAATTATAGGTTTCCTTTTCCTGCATTGTGTCTGGATATGGCCACAACGGTGACAGTTGCTGTAAAAGGATAAATTTCCCTTATAAACAATCTTTTTTCTAGTAGCTTTTGTTTCTATCCATTCCCACTGATATCTAGACCTTATCTAGAGGATGGGAAGCTAAATCTAGCTCTACACAAACTCGTGCATGGATTGGATGAGACACGTTTACAGTCCTTTCATCAGTTTTTAGGAACACAGAAAAAGAGTTCATAATTTCCTGTAGTATACCCTAAGGAAAGAAGGAGATTGGCAGGTAGGGGAGACATATCAATATAGCTGTTAATGATGATTCTCTATTAGAACTAAAACCTGGCTCCCATTTGAAAAGACGAAATGGGGAAGATTATATTTCATGAAACTCAACTGACCAAGCCTTTGCAAAATCATCTGCAGAGAATGTTCAAATGATAGCATGTCTAGGACCTAGTAATCCTACAATGGGATCAGTTTCTAAACCCCAATGTTGTATGATATTGTCTTTGATAACATTGATAGCTGATCTCATTCCTACAAATTTGGGCTACCATAGCATGCATAAATAGACTTTTGGCCTGTTGGATTTCCACTGAAGAGAAGTTAATCGCTAGCTTTCCCTCCATTGAAGTGCATTATCGGGGAGCTATATCTAAGTTCAGCAGGACTCCATTGTTTTCTGGTTTTTTGGATTTGGGAGAGGATACTATGTTTACAAAAGAGATTGGTGTTGTGGGACTAGTTTTTTATTGGGGTTTGATGGTAGTTGAGGAGGGGGGTTGGGGGGCGCCGCGGGGAAGGTGTGGGTCGGTGGGTGGGTTAAGGGGGGCTGGGGGGCGCTGCGGGGAAGGTGTGGGTCGGTGGGTGGGTTAAGGGGGCTGGGCCCCTATCGGATTAAACTATGGCCGCCCTACGTCAAGCCAACGGCGAGCGGAACTTTTTAAAGGGTTAAGCAAAAATTTCAAAGCATCCCATTGTGTTTAAACTTATTTTATTTTTGTTTTTTTTTTAAACAAAATAAGTTAACACTATTAATCTAAAATTTAACGGAGAGAGGAGATTGAGACATGAACCAAAGCTAAAAGGGTGAATTTAAGATGGAAAAAAAAAAAAGAAGGAAAACGACATGATAAAATCCCAAAAAAGAAAAACAACTTATTCTTCAAGCATGGACCCAAAAAATAAAGTTGTCAAAAAATCTTAAAGGGGCTACAATTAAGCTTAATAAAGGAAACCAAATAATCTTTGAGGCGGCCACTCTAGTCTTTACAAGGCTACGTCTCTACATGTTCTAATTAACTCATGGCATTGAGAAGATATTTATTCTCTATCTCTTATCTTTTCTTTGAAATATGCCTTGCCTTCCTCATTTCTTACGTGATCTCATGCATTTTAGTGTGTTAATTTTATTTTAATTATAAATTATAGAAATAATTTAGTTTAATGTGAGAATTTTATGACATTTGTACATCATAGAGTATAATCATTTTTTGGATAAATAAGCTTCATTTTCCAAGATTATAAATGTTAGGGCTGAAAAGGATATTAAACAGCTAGTGTTGCATATATATATATATATATACACAAAGATTGAGAGGTATTTTTATGTCAATTTTCACTTCAGTCAAAACTAAGTCCATCACTTTTTGAGATAAGTCGGTATCATAATATGTTTAATTTTTTATCAACTACTAGACTCTCTCTTAGACTAAATAAACTCAAACTTGATATCATTAAGGAATAATTATGGTTATTTATTTATTAGTATTGTTTCATATATATAAAAGAAACATAAATTGTTTAATACATGCATGCATAAAAAAAAAAAAATTTTAAAAATATTGGTCAAAAGAGAAAAAAAGGAAGTCAAAGAGAGGATCAATCTCAATTGGGTATCGAAAATTGTAAATTTTAAACTTTGATAATTCAAATTGGTTGTGAAGTAAAATAATAATAATAATAATTCAATGCATTTTCTGTCTTTATTACATAATAAAACAAATTTTGTTTGATTTATTTTGTGCTAGAGCAACAAATTTTGTACTTATATTAAAATTGTAAATTGTGAAATTAGTGAGTTTATTTTTTTATTTTCAGTTCAATGAAAAACCTAACAAGTTTTCTTTTCGAATTCTCAATAATGTTTTTTATTGTTTGAACTTGAGAAGTTCAAGTGTATTATCTCCAAATATATTTTAGAAGGTTATTCATGAAAATCTTGTCCAAGTATTATCTCAAAAGTACTTCTCAAAGTTTTCATAATTATATCAAATGAAATTAATTATGTCGAATAATAAAGAAAATAGACCATCAAATGAAATGAAAAAAGAGTAGATCAATAAGTTTTTTTTTTAATGGTAATAAAATTTTTATACTTACAAATTAGTCGCGGTTTAAAATTCTTCATATAAAATATTTGAGCAAAAAAAAAAAACATATTGTATTACAAGAGAAGGTTATAGTTGCCCTCCATCTTTATAACAATGACCAATTCAATTCTTTGTGATAATATGACTATCTTGTTTTCCTTATTACTAACACTATCTTCCTAACAATATATGAATTATAATAAAGTCTTATCTATGAGAGAGAGATTGATATAGTGAGTTGATGGATACGTAAAAAAAAAATAAGATAAAAAAGAATTTGTGCCATTGATTGAACATAGAGCTACCCTCCTCCTCCTCCTCCTCCTTCTTCTTCTAAACTCTCAATTTCTTGTTTTCTTTTATTTTTTTATTTTTCTCAGAAAAGTAAATAAGAGGTCAATTTTCTATTTTATCTTCCAAAATATATGAGTTCTATCAATATCATTCTCAAAGTTTTTTCTTTATCAAACACCTTCTTGATGTTGTACTATTTATCAACAAGGTCATTATGTCTACATTCGTTAAGAAAGCTAATAGAATATGCTTTTATATTTTGTAAACCTCAATTCTTCACCTCCAAAACTATAGATAATTTTTGGATTAGCTTCTCATTTTTTTTAACAATATTCATATTAAGATACAGACTAGAATTTGACTTGAAAGCAAATTCACTTAGAACACGAGTATAAAAAATATACTAAATGTGAAAATTTAATCTAAAAAAATACAAAGCCAAATTCACTAAATATTTCAATAATGTTGAATCAATTAAAAAATAAAATATAAAAATATAAAAATTCAAATGCACTTTAATGTGAGTAAATAAAAACAAATTGTACATATAGTTCTTTTAATTTTATTCAAAAAAAAAAAAAAAAACTAAGTTTGGACTTTTTTTTTTTTTTTATAACTTAACGAAATTGATAGCATCAAGTTGTCCATGAAGGCAACAAGACGAGAGAATACAATAACTAGATATATGTTAATAGAAATTAAATTGATTTAGTTCAAATTAAGTTAAATTAGCATATATCGCATGTTGACCTTTTACTTTGGTTTTCTTTTCTAAAATAAACTAATTGTACAAAAAATATATATATATATATATATATATATATATGACTTTCAAATGAAGTTGGAATATCTAATGATTTTCATGGTCAAACTTTTTAAAAAACTTATGTGAATTTTGTTTTTTGCTTTTTTGTTGATTAAAATTCATATTAATTATTTTTTAGGAGTTAATTGGTAAACTATCTATACTTTTGGGAAGGAGGAAATTAAAGTTTATATTATAAAAATGTTATTTTCCGTTAGTTTTATTAATAGAGATGGATGGAAGGATTTTATTGATAAATGATTATAACATTAAAGGATTAATTGATAAATAATAGATATTTGAGTACAACTGAATGGAATCCATATACAGTTAACCCTAGATAAAATGAAGAAGCTTCCCACCCGGATCTACATAGCTTGTTGCCTTATCAATATAAATTTGGAGCAGTTACATGTGGCACTGATAAACACACAAGAGTCCACCATGCGAAATTTCGTTAAAGATAAACCGTCGCTAAATGACAATTGCAATTTGGTCGTACCCAATGGTGGAAGGAAATGAAGAAAGGTCTCTGAACGGAGAGGCTTCGGCCAAGTCCAAACAATCACAGCCAGTGGAACCAATGGCATTGCTCCGCAGGGGACCCAGCCCATCAACATCACTGAAACTTTTTCAAGGAAAACAAAAATCTAGAACGCATCCGTTCCCATTGAGTTACAGTAAGCTTTGCTTGTGGCAGAAAATTTAGGTTTGGGTCAAGCCGTTCGATGGCAAATTGATCCCACAAAAAATTATTTGAAAAAAAAAATCTACAACTGTAAAACAATTGCAGGTAAATTATCCCCTTTAACTCCTATGTACACATGAGGAAAAAAATAAGGATAATAAAAAATATATAACAGAAAAAAAAAAAGAACATAAAAAGCTCTGCGTGGAAATCTCTTTACAAAAAGTCTTTACAAAATAGAAAACAAAAATTATCTTGGTACTTAAATTATGAAATTTAGATAATGATTTTAGACTACTATCTTGATCTATTGAAACTACGTGTCTTGATTTAGGTGATGTTTAATAAAATTAAAAAAAATTAAAAATTAAATGCTAAATCTACTAAGTATTGAATTTTAAATTCTGAATAATTAAGCATTGAATATGTTGTTCATAAATTATTTAATATTTACTAAAAATTAATGTTGAATATAATAAAATTATTTGATAAGTACTATTAATGAATATATTAAAGCTATATATATGATAATTTTAATCTTGTAATTACAATATAATATTTTTTTATACAAATAAAAATATATACATAATTATATTTATGTATATAAATAAATAAAAATGATTATTAATAAAAAAACAACATTGAAAACGATCTACAATAATATTAATTATGATGTCATGTATCCGCCTCTCTTCCTCATCTAAACCCTCTTGATCCGTCCTATCTCCACCAAGGTCACGCAAATCCATCAGTTGCTCGATATTGATCGCCAAAAGCATGTCTTCCGATGCAAATTGGCTTTGTCCAACCTGGGACAAGGATGGGGATGTTGGGGATGTTTTTGCAAATAATTGGTTCTCTGAAGACAGTGCCGTTCAAAATGTTCCTAATTGTTCCATTTGGAGTCTTCCACATCTGCTTCAAGTTAAACTGCTTGACACGAGTTTCATCTGGAGTAATAGTTGCACACTTCATTGCTACATTGTGCTTAAGAGTAGCTTCGGCTCTTTCAACAGTGACTATATTATTAGTGGCATCACGATGAGGGAGGCCAAGGTCAAAGTACTTGATATCCAACTCCAAGAAGGGGAAAATAAGCTTGTCCTTTATTGATTTCCAGAAAATTCTAGTCATTTCATCTTCATCCATTTCAACGATGGGGTTAGCAACCTTGATCTTTTCGAAAGCCATAGTTTTGTAGTCTCCGAGAAAAGAGTTTTAAAGATTGAAATTTTGGTGTTGCTTTTCTTTCTTTCTCCTCCCGTGCATTATTCAGAGAAGGAAAATAGATAGAGTGGAGAAATATTTGAGATATCGTTTCTTAATTTATTTATATAGTTAACGTTATAAAAATATATTAAGATTATATAGTTATATCTAAAAAATTTTAAAAATCTTTTAACTAAGCGTATTAATCAAAAAGTTCTAAGTTAAAATTTTTAATTTATCCAATTAAATAAATTTTGATTGAATTTAAATTTTAAATATAATATTATTTAGATTATAAACAAAAATTTTTATATTAAGTACTACAAGTTAATTTTTTAAACTACTTAAATAGGTTATCAAACAAACCCTAAGGTTAATTTTTAAATAAAAAGATCATTTATAAGTAAGTGTTATTTCGATCATGGACTTATTTATTTATGTTTGTAATTTGATTACATTGATATCGGGTCTTGAATTATCTAGTGTTCTTAATAGTTTTTACGAGATAATTCTATAATTCTTATTGGGATAATTCTTAGATGCATGTTTTTTAATTATCCTTTTTTTTTTTTTTTTACCTAAGATAAGTTTTAGAATGCGGATTTTTGAATTAATTTTTTTTCCTAAGATAACTCTTAGAATATATGTCAATAAGAATATCATAATGCATGTATTGAAACTATTAGAATGTTTGCCACAACTAAAATTTATATGCACTTGGTAGAAAATATTGTGAATTGCCAACTTATTATTCTTGTTTGAAACACCAAAACAAAAATTCTTTTTTGTTTATGATAATATAAATTTTAAAATTAATACATAAAAGGAAGACCAAAATTTTGACAATTGTAGGAATTGAATCCTTACCCTCTAATGAGAGATGCTTAAACTAGTGCTTCGAGCACAAGTTAACAAGTTATTTTGGTTTTAAATTCGTGGTAAATTAAAATTATTCTAAGACAATCAAAAATATTTATTATCAATTGTTCTATGAAAAATAATAAAAAATTCATAATAATTAAAATAGAATGAATTAAATTCAATTTTTTTTAGAAAACTCATTTATACATTTCCCAACATAATAATGGTCCAGAATTAAAATTTTGATATTGCAAGAAATTTATTTCAATTATTTTTATAAAAGGAGTAAAAAATTTTTTAATAATCAATTTTAATGAAATAAATTCTAAGAAAACTTTCAAAAATATTTTATGCAATGCTCGGTTTGGCTAGAATACATAAATGATTTTTTTTAAAACAATTTTAGATTTATATGTATGAACATATGTTATTTATTAAGCATTATATTTTGCTTATTCTTTTTATTTTGATTGATTCATAAATGTTTAAGAGGTATCGTGAGATAAAATTAAATGGTATAATTTTTAAATTGAGTTATTAAAATCATACATTTGAATATGGATGATGGAGAGGAACATAATGAATTATCAATTTTGCATTTTATGTAGGATTTTAATAACTAATGTAAGAAATTATTGTTGATTTGAATAAAGGTGAAAAAGTTAATAAGGACAACTATAACATATGGCATGCTAAGATACATTATGTCATAGGAGAGCAAGAGGCTTTAAAGGCAATCAATAATGAGATGATTGAGCATCCGCTTAATGATGGGAATAGCAATGCCAAGTATTGTCGACATATTACTACTTATCATGCTTGGAAGAAGGTAGATTCTATTACAAAGGGAATACTGATCGGTTCTATGAATGATGATCTAATTTTCAAGTACCGAGTTTATCCAACTACTTATTCCATCTAGGCAACACTCAAGGAAGAGTTTGGAGGGGCCATTGTCTCCAAAATAAGGTAGTTGATGATCATGTTGAACATGATTTTAAAACTAAAGCAAGCTCGGTATATCTTGATAGGTTAATTACAAATGTAGGTTGTTATCTGATCTTTTTATGATAGTTAGGAGCATATGAAAGTGAACATGACCCACGATAAGAGTGTCTTAAGATATTTGCTGATGTTGCTCTCCATGCTGAAGTTGAAAGATGAACACCTTGAGGCGACGAAAGCCAAATGGATAGGCACGTGTGACCATATCTAGTTTCCGGAAAGCTTCGGGATTCAAATGTAAGTGGCACGACAATAGGAAAGAAAAAGAGATTAGATAGGGACCAAAGAAAAAAAACGGGGTTTTAATCATACTAAAAAGAAAGACAAGAACAAATTGACTTACTACAATTATGGCAACTTGAGTCACTTTCCCTATGAATGCACTTAGGACTAAAAGATATTGTCTCTAAGTATCTCTTCTATTAATGCTTATGTTTCTTGTACTATATTGCTCATTGAATCTCATCTCGTTAGCACTCAAAATTTTTTTAAAAAAATTAATAAGAGAAAAAGGACTGAAAAAAATAGAATTGAAGGGTGTCATTGAAAAAAGGAGAGAAAAACACCAAAATAAAATAAGCTTGCAAAATGAAGGACCAAACTAAACTTTATCCAAAATCCTAAAATTCAATATAAAAACCAATTTTTCTCCAAAAAATTTTAGACTTTCTCTCTCTAAATTTCGATAGCCGTAGCCAGTTTTTCTCTCCAAAAACCAACGACCACCTTCTTTTACAATATTTGAATCCGGTCGGCCCTCTAAAAAAGCTAAAATAGCACCCTCTCAAAAACTCAAGTAAACCCTTCAATCGAATCTTTGGTCGGTCTAGTCCAATCCGGCCCTCCTTCGACTAATTTCCCACTTGTTGTCTAGCTTTTCTAGTTCGTTGCTCAATCCAGCTCCAAATCATAACCACTCCTCCACATCTAGCTCCTCCAATTGTGGAAGCTCTTCCTCTTTCATCGATCTAGTTGGTCTAGGCCCATTTAGTAGCTCGATCCGACCTAATCCAATTGGACTAATAACCATTTGATGCACAACCCGTCCTAGTCCACTACCATCTAGCATTTTTGTCGCTGCGTAGCTTGATATCCTTCACCGACGTCCAACAACCACTACCATCCATTTTAGCCGCACCTATGCCATGATAGCCACCTCCATCAATGTTCCGACATATCTAGCTACCCAAGTCGATCAACGGTAGCCCTCCGACTCGGTCTAATGGACCAATCCACCTATAGTAGCCTAGTTTAGCTCGACCCATTCCGGTTCGATCCAATAGTCGAACAACCCTATCCAGCGGTGATAGTAGCTCTAATCTAGTATTTTTTCCATCTATAGCCATCGATCCAAGTCGACAATTGGCGGTCATCCCTATTTCTCGGTCGACTAAATAATTAGTCTCCATCGATATTGAAAGGGACAGAATTGATCCTAATTCGAATGTTAGATTTATTTGGCCTTTTCATAATAATTTTTTTAATCCTTTTAATTTAATTTATATTAAATTTAATTCAAATGATTTGGTTACAAATTAATTAAATTACAATTATAGTTGTGTAACTTTAAATTATTGCTATGGTTGTGTGTTTTTTCCACTATGGTTGTATGATTTGATTGAAATTTTTAAGATACATCATAATTTATTGCGTTTATGAAAATGCTTAAGAGCATGGGAAATATTAAAGCGATGTAAGGGGTTAATATCATGTGATTTTTTTCGATTGTTGCTTGGTAATCAAATTGTGTTGGTCTTAACCATGTTCTTGGCCCATTTTCATTAACGGTAATTTTAAGTTACTCATGTGTTCATTTCATCTAAAAAAAAAAATCATTTCAAATCATGCTAGTTTGAACCTCGTTTTTGGGGTCATTTTTTTCAAATATTGATTAATTTTCACATTTTTGCCAATTCATTAAAAATGTGATTCTTAAGTGACGTTGGTTCAAATTTTGTTTTAAGGTCATTTTAGCCCATTGTAATGGTTACTTAATATTATGCTAATTTGTCTTAAGAAAAAATGTGATTTCTAAGCCACGTGGATTCGAGCCTTATTTTGGATCGTTGCCACATATTGTGAGAATTAGTTCTTTGTTATGTCGATTTTGCCTAAAATCCACAATATTCAAGGTCACATCAATCCGAATCTTATTTTCGATTTGTTTTTTGTCAATTTCAATAATTTTTTTGATTTCGCCTAAAAATCATAACTTTTGAAGTCTTGTCGGTCTTAATCTTGTTTCGTATCATTTTCATCAATTTCGGTAAGTTTTGTCAATTTTACCAATTTTGTCTAAAACGGCCAAGATCATGCCATTGAATCAATTAACCATATATTCATGAATTAAAGTGATGAATAGAGAATTACATCTTATAGCGCATATCTAAATTTTAAAACAAAGAAAGGAACCACCCAATGGTCCGACCTCTATTGATTATCCATGCGGTCAAGCAACCACAAAGAAGCACTCAAAATTAGTAAAGTACTAGCTCCACCTTTTCTAATTTCCTTAATGTTTTCTATAGAAATCTAATCCAAATAATTTTACGACAACACAAAAAAGTAAAGTAGAGTGGCGTGTACTAGGGTTTTTTAGGAGAAATTATTTTGTTCTTTCTGTTTCCTTCATGTCGTGCGCCTTAAGAACTTTCTCTTTTTTCTTTTTTAGAATTCTTTACCTCAAAACTCTCTTGTCGATTTCCCTCCCTTTTTTTTGTTATGTCTTGCTATATCTCTCTTCTCCTATTTATAGGAAAAGAGTTTTCTTGTCTGTCAAGGATAAGGATGGGTGGCAACTTGTCATAAATAGGACTCATGATTGTTACTTCCTAATCCTCTAAGGATTAAGGGTTTAACATGTAGGCTTTTGATCTTTATCTATAAAATATGCATCCTTATCTAATAAGGTTCATGTTTATCCTCTCACTAAAATACCTTCGGGCTTTTAATTAAACGTTCTAACCCAAAACCATTTTGGCCCCATTAATTAATTTGGACTATCTAAATAAATAAACTTAGATTATTTTAGGTGGCCCATATTAGGAAGTAATTTCTTAAAATACCTTTTAACCTAAATTAGTAAACTCATTTTCATTTTAGGTTATTTACTTTTC